CAGGACATGGAGACATCCCAATTGAGATAGTAAAGTATGGACCAAAAATATTGTGTTGAATCGTGGATATTAAACGAAGATATGTGCAGAAAACTGGAAGCAATTGATATGTGGCTATATCGGAGAATACTTAAGATCCCGTGGACTGACCGAGTCACCTAGTGAATCTGGTTCAATACAACATATGCAGAGCTTTTCCCCGCTGCTGCAGATAAGATAATGATTGCCATGATGATCGCCAACATTCGCAACGGATATGCATATCAAGAAGAAGTGTGCTAAATAATAACTACATCGACAGTTTGATCGGATACGGTGGTATTGTGGAATGTGAAGACTAGTATACTAAGATGCTTTTGTGAGCGTTGGACCTGAACTGATACAAGACGTTCGGCAGTCCTTATCAGCAGTATACAAATGTGCGATGGGCATAATGGAGAACATTTTGAGTATTTATGAATATAGTTTATCGGTTAGGTATATATTATTTGGTAACATGATGAGCTATTAAAGTCCAACTTATTTGTATTAACATACGATTTTTTAATATTTTATATTTTGATTTACGTTTACAAAATTCGATTATAATTTTTGTTTTTTCATTAATTTATCAGTAGGTACACAAAATGTATTAATAAAAAATTTACAAAAACATAAAATATATGGTTGTTCTCTCATTATCTACAAAATGAAGCATGTTAAATATGTATATCCTTATATCAAAAGAACTAACATTTTCTTCAAAATACAATATTAATATACAGGGTGATTCATTAAAAAATAATTAAAAAATTTTGTATTTGAAAATAGTGATCAAATTGTATCTTGTATGGCTACACGTCAAAGATACTAAATTATTTAAAAATGATCTTACCCAAAAAAAAAAAACCGTTTACTTGTTATTTACATTTTTATTATCTTGAAAACCACAGCCCTTTAAATATTATCATTTTTCTCAATAAAAGAAACCTATTATCGAAATCTATGGCAGGTAATTTGATAATTTCATAAAAAGAATAATAAAATAATCTGAATGCAATTTTTGGATTGCATTTTCACGAGTTTCTGTTTGTAGCATTAAAAATATTGCAGGAGAAGCAGGAAATATATCCGGTTTTGTCAACTTCTAATGAGAAGATGAAAAAATCTTAAAATATAAAATTATAAACAGTTAAGCAAGGTCTGTTACGTCTACAGATTATTAATTTTCATATGACTGCAAAACAAGTACCCCCTGTACATAAAATTCGTAAGAGATTTGAGTATAAAGGAGACAAAGAATCCTGTAAGAAATCTTGGATTTCGCTGGAACAAAAGAGCAAATATTCGAAAACTTTTTAAACAATTTAGAACCAAAAAAGATTTATTGCGTTTACTATTTACTTTAAACTAGTACTGCGACTAGGTCATCGTCGCAGTAATATTTGAACTGATAGAACGATCAGTGGGCATAAAGCACGTCTTCAAGAACCAACGTTTGATCATTGTGGAGACGGGAAACAAAGCATGTTTAATCGACGGATCAAATGTTAGATGGAAGTCTTAAGCAAAAACAGGTGACTACCATGATGATATGGATATGTCAACTACAAAAAGTGGTTACTACAAAATTTAAAAGTTTGAGCCCTTATTTCTCTGATGGGCAAGCAAGTAAAAATTTGAAATTTGGCTGAATGTTAGTTCCTAATGAGTAGAATAAGGGGTAAAAATTTGAAGTTATAGACTTAAGGCATATAGGAGTTACAGGCCTGAGAAAATGGCAAAAAATCATTAATTTGAGCGTTTGCGGTAGAGTAATTAAAATTCAAATAAACTGTCTAATGAAATAAAAATTAATGTATTTTATTTCACCAAATTTCACAATAAATACAAACTTATACTACATTATAGAAATATTAACCTTCATTTAGAAGAAAACAGCAGGATTTGCCCTGGAAAAAAAGATTGTGTGTCTGTGCGCATCGAAGGAAAGCCAATCCACAAACAAAAATATCTTCTATGCATCATAAGTAACTATCAACAACATAACACTGCCGTGGTTCACTGTTTTCAGAAATATTTCATTGAAGATTGGAGATATGGCTCTAGTTGTTAAAAGAGTAATTTATTTTACTAATGGTGCCAATAGCTAATATAAAAATAAAAAATTTCCTGAACATCTGTCATCATGAGCAAGATTTTGGTCTACAGGCGGAATAGCACTTTTTTGCAACAGTCCACGGGAAAAATGCATGCGATGATATCGGCGGCACAACAAAAAGAGAAGTTACTAAAACCAGTTTACAATCAACTTGTAAGAATCAAATTTTAACTGCAAAAGATATGTTTGATTTCTGTTCACAGAATTTAAAAGGTATTCAGTATTATTATGTTGAAAGTGAAGAAATCCTACAACATGAATCACAACTTGAAATGAGATTTAAAACTTGTTTGAAAATTCCTGGCACGCGTTCTTTTCATCGAATCGTACCAATCTCAGAAAATAAAGTCAAATGTTTTCAAACATCCCAGACAACTAAATATTTAGAATTTTTCGCAACAAGTGCTATCTCCATTTCCCTAAGTGGAAATTATGTAATAGCATGTGTCTATGATGGAAAGTGGTGGCTACGGGTAATAAAAACTGTCAGCATTGAACATCATGACTTCTATGTGCACTTTTTTGAACCTTCTGGACCCAGAACATCACTTAAGCTAAGTGCTCATGATCAAGCTTGAGTGCCTTTTAATAAAATCTTGAAGACAATCACACTCTCAGAACTAAAACCAGTAACTGGACGCAATCGTAACATATCTCAAGATTTATGCGATGAAATCCCAGCTTCTGAACTGTCAAAATTCTAAATGAAGGTTAATATTTCTATAATGTACTATAAATTTGTATTTATTGTGAAATTTGGTAAAAATGCATTAATTTTTATTTTATTATACAGTTTATTTGAATTTTTACTCTTTACTTTTTGAATTACTCTACTCCAAACGCTCAAATTAATGATTTTTTGCCATTTTCTCAGGCCTGTAACTCCTATATGCCTTAAGTCTACAACTTCAAATTTTTACCCCTTATTCTACTCATTAGGAACTAACATGCAGCCAAATTTCAAATTTTTTACTTGCTTGTCCATCAGAAATATAAGGTCTCAAACTTTGAAATTTTTCCAAAAATAACATTTTTGAGATTCTTTTTGAAAAAATTGACAAGTCTCAAAGCTCAAACTTTTTTCATTAAAAGTATGTATGTATATCTTTTCCAGAAAAAAAATTACAAACCATTATCAGCTTGCCTTATGTTGTTAAAAAAATGTTGAAAACGGAATTTTATCAGTTTACCTTTTCAAACTTTAAGGTCAATTTAAGGCATTAAGGGTAGTTTGTAATTAAATAATGCTATAGACCATTTTTTTAGAGCATACTTTTCCAAACAGTTTGGTTTTTGATCTATTGTTCTAGGACAAACCTAAGCGAAAATATTGGCTAAAGAGTGAAGCCATGTTTTCCGTGAAAATGACCGACACGATGAAACAAAAATGGCCGCCATCGGCAAAATAAATTAAAAAAAATAGAATTAATGTAATTTTGTATACTCTATAAACTGAAGTTTAATTAGTAGAAAAATAAAAAATATTAAAAATAGTCAAGCAACCAACTTAATTTATATTGAACCACTTCGTATGGATTGACCCCAAAATGAATCTGAATACTTAGGAGTAACCATAACGAACACGGGAAAATAAGCAAAAGAGATAGACAAAAAATTAATGAAGGGAAGCAGAGCGATAGGGTCACTAAATACATTACTGAAAGCAAAAAATGTGTCAAGAACAGCTAAACTGCGAGTCTACGAGACAGTTATCAGACCCACAGTGATGTATGCCAGTGAAACGTGAATTATGAACCAGCAGGAAGAAAAGAAAGTAGAGATCTGGAAAAGAAAGGTGCTTAGAAAAATCTTCGGAGGAATAAAGAGGGCAGATAATATTTGGAGAAGACGAACGAATAAACAAATAATGAGCATGTATGGGAAACCAGCTATTACGACAAAAATACGAGCTCAAAGAGCTAGGTGGCTTGGTCACATTATACGAATGCAAGACAATCTAAATGTAAAAACAATACTGAAGGAGGGAGAAATGAGGAAAAAAGAAGAGGACGTCCAAAGAAGAAGTGGTTGGAAACAGTAAAGCAAGACTTGTCAGAAATAGGCGCAAGAAATTGGAGAGAAAGTAAGGGACCAAAAAAAATGGAGGGAAATAACCAAGTTGTTAGAAGCCAGGGACCTACAAGACCTGTAGCGCTGTTATATACAAATATATAACAGAATCCCATCGAACTGGAATTTTAATGATAAGTTTCAAAATCTAACATCTAATCATTCATAATTCAGAGAAAATATTTACGCCAAGTTGCTAGTCAATATAGTATGGGCCCTAGAACTAAGTTCAATATTTATCAAATAATGCATACTCATAAGCTAAGAGAAGTGATAGAAGCATTAAGTTTTATGTAGTAATGGCTAAGTTAAACGAAAAAGTATGGTAAATGCAGCAAATCTGAGCTTAGCCAACGAATATAACAGTTTGGTTTTAATGAAACCGAGCAGTAGCTCTTTTAATTTATCTATACATGGATGATATAAAGATGTACCATTAAGTAGCCACCTAAATCACCAGACCTTACTGTTTTCCTTTTGCATATATTATTTAACTTTATTATAGTTCTTTCTGAGGATTAACTTTTAAGCATAAACTATATGCACCACACCCAGATTTTAAGTTTTACATGAAATTTGACCAAAAACATTAGATTTGTGCCAATATGTCAATGAAGAATACTGTGCCGCATATTTCTGTAAATAAACGAATCGTAACATGCAAATGCTGACTTAAAAGGTCACTTGTGTTTAAAAATTGACTTGTAAGATCTTATTTCTATAAATGTTTTAAGCCAACAATATTACATTTTTTATTAAAAAAAGGAAAATAATTTTTGTTTTATTCTAGGAGACCTTTTTACCCAAATGGCAGGAAGTCACCTTCGGAGTTTGAAGTAGAAATGATGGGAGTTGGGGGCGAATTTCCGCATTTCAAAGATAACAAATTAGGCTGTGAAATTTTAGGACTTCCCTACAAAGGAAATAAAACTGTCTTCTATATAATCATGCCGTTTGAGTCAAGCGTTCAAAAGCTTAAAGAATTTGAAGATCGAATTACAGCAGCAGATTTGGAGTCTTTAGCGGATAAGGCAATTTATAAAAAAGCTTTGGTAAGCTTTCCTAAGATGACATTGGAAAGTACTTTAAATATGAAATCGGTCTTGACCAAATTAAATATTACAAATTTATTCAATCCTGCACAGGCTAACTTGGGCCTTATGTCAGCTGGTCCAGCCAACATTCCGTTTAAACGGTTTCCACATGAAGAATCTGAAATAAATCCTCTAACCCCACACCAAGATAATCCCAATGATGTAATTATTTTTAATAGATTTGGCAATCCGGTAAACTGTTCAAGTATTTTTGACAAATCTAATAATATTACAACTTGCGAAGATACTGTGGTAGATGCCAAAGGGGAGCATAAAGTAATCTACAAAAAGTTTGGAAATAAAATAGGTCGAAGAATAGCGAGAAGTATATCGAACGAAAAAACTTTTAAAAAATCTAGTAAAGCATTCTCGAATTCTAGAGATACTATTGATAATTTGAGACATCTTATTAACAAACAATCAGCCGATAACAATTACCTAAATCCAGGTTTATATGCAGATAAAGTCATCCATAAGGTTTACCTGCAGGTTACAGAAGCTGGCACTGAAGCAGCAGCCACAACCATCGTTGCTCTACCTAGAAGCTACTCTAGTCTTGGCTTTAGAGTCGATGTTCCTTTCTTATTTTTTATGAGACATGAAATAACGAAAACAATATTGTTTTGGGGATCAGTTGAGAAACCAACTCCGTATTTTAAAGCAGATTCTTAAAATTGTAAATGCTTATATTCAAATTTGATTATAGAACCGTATTTGGCAATACTTAAATACATTATAAAAAATTGTTGACATATCCTATATATCAGCCGTTTATATTGTAACATGCACCTAACATAAATTATTTAATGCTAACATTTATTTTTAAGTATTTACTGTCACAGTTGCCAATTTAAGTTATTACAATGTAATAATATGGTGTTCATAAATGCTGAGAATATTACAATTTGGGCTTTATTTTCCTATCCTTGTCAAATCTCTGTCATAAATAAGTACAATAAAAATAACCAGCTCATATCAATGGGAAAATTTAATGCCAGAATTGCAATGAAAATGGCAAACTTCTATGAAATATCATAAACGGGATATACATAAGTATACATGAACAGCTGGTGTATTAAGATCTGTAATAGTTTATATTAGATCTAAGACCTCTACTTGCAAAACAACCAATCTCCACTTTTTGGACGATCTAACCTGAATACGCCACTGGATTCCTTGTAAAAAGAACCATCCAGCTATGCATAAATTTCGTAACATAACTACCAAACTCCCATTGAAATTCAATGGAGAAAAATGATTGTTGTTTCAAAACGACCATTCTCGAAGGTCCTGTAGGTTTCAAAACATTCTGAAAATAACCAGAGTTTTATAAATACCTCTATACCAGCCAAAGCTACATATATAATCAATGAGAGACTGAAAACATTCCTTCAAAGAGAAATTCCACAAGAGCAAACTGGATTTACCAAAGGTAGAGGCACTCGAGAACACCTGCTGAATATAAGACAGATAATCGAGAAATCTAGGGAATTCAACATCCCACTATACATCTGTTTTATAGATTATCGTAAAGCGTTCGACAGGGTCAAGTGGAGACACTTATGGCGAATACTAAAAGAAGTAGGCGTACCACAACATCTAATTACGCTTATAACTGAACTATATGAACACACTACTGGATCAGTTAAAGTACTTCACACACTTTCGAACGAGTTTCATCCAGAACGGGGTGTCAGACAAGAATGTATATGTATACTATCTCCACAATTATTCAACATATATGGGGAGTATATTATGCGAAGAGCACTTGAAGCATGTGAAAAGGGCATCTCAATTAAATGGACATAAACTAAACAACCTACGTTTCGCAGATGACACAGCCCTTCTTGCAAATAGTCAAGCAGAGCTGATGGAACTTATACGACTGATCGAAAACGAAAGTCAAATATTTGGTCTGCAATTAAACATATCAAAGACAAAGATCATGATAGTGGATAGACTACACAACAATCATCCACACATAACCACAATTGACCGGTTCGAGGTTGTGAGCTCATACTTATATCTGGTATCATTAATCACAAACACAGGGTCATTACAAGAAGAGATTAAACGTAGATGTGATCTAGCAAAAGTTGCCACAGCAAAAATGACCAAAATATGGAAGGACTGTCAAATTTCAAGAGCGATAAAGATGAGGTTGATCAACTGCTTAATATTCCCAATACTGACCTACGGATGTGAATCTTGGACTCTGAAACAATGGAAGAGAAAAAAGATAGACGCCACTGAAATGTTCTGTTGGAGACGAATGTTACGAATTCCTTGGACCGACCGTAGAACAAATAATTCAATTTTAAGAGAGCTAAAAGTTAGCCAACGACTCTCTAGTAAAGTCCATCTCCAACAATTAAAATATTTTGGGCATGTTATGAGAGCAAACACAGAAAACATGGAAAGACTCATAATACAAGGAAAGGTAGAAGGCCGAAGATCACGAGGAAGATCCCCAACAAGATGGATAGATCAAATTACAGGAATATGCCAAAGACCTATGCATGAATTAAAAGATATGACCAGAGACAGAGATCTCTGGAGGCGGACAATACACGACATCACGTCGACCACTACACTCCCCCTGGGGGGTCAGAATTGAAGAGAGAGACCAGCCAAAGGCCACAAGACAATTTCCCGACATGAGTAAAGACTTTCATAAATCAAGGATCGGAAATACTTTTACACATAACTGTGTTAGAAGTAAGAGCAGCTTTAAAGGAAATGAAGAACCATCGATCGCTTGGAGATGATGGACTAGTTATTGAGGCAATAAAAGCAGGAGAAGAAATTCTATTAAAATCAGTAAGCGAACTGTTTAAATAATGCTTACATGCGGGTACGATTCCAAAAGACTGGAACAACGCAGTGATAGTCTTGTTACACAAAAAAGGTGATCTTAATTACTAAATTAGAAAATTATAGACCCATTAGCCTCTTGACACATATGTACAAACTCTTTATGAAAATCTTAACAAAGAAACTAACACCTAAACTTCATAAATCAGTAGGAAGACCACGAAAACGATGGAAGAACTTATTGGTGGCACATTGAAAAACAGACAGATTCATGTCTACATAAAAAGAAGAAGCTGGTATATCGTAAGAATGTACATACTACAACATTCGTATCCAAGCTTCAATCTAGACATCCATGACTTTGACAAAAGATCATTGTTTATGTCAGATAATTTAGATTATCTACGAATTTCTTTGCATTGTTGTTATTAGTATTGATTTATAAAAATTTCTCATCAATTTTGTAGTGAAGAATATGATGCAATTATCTTTATTTATGGATTTTGTGATGAAAATGGGCTCTGCAAAAAGAGAGTAAGCAAGACGATTTCTTGGTCGAAGATTATCAAATACTAAAAAAATTTGGGTGTGTGTTTAAATATATACAAACGCATGCAGAATATCCAACCGTAGCTTTGAACGAACGCAATGAAAGAAGGTATATTGGAACGGATGACCATATTTTAAATCGAGTGCAAAACAATCCAGAAATTAGAACTAGAAGGATTGGTAATGCTATAACTATGCCACAATTTGGCGTAAAATAGAAAACATAGACTGCAGAATAATACTAGAATAAATGTTAGTAGACGGTATAAAAATCAGAGATGTCATAAAATATGAACTTTTACGCCTGATTATTTTGGGAAAGATCCAAGGTAAACGTGGTCCTGGTAGAAGAACATTATGGGTGAAAACTCTGGTACGGAAAATCGACTACATCATTCTTTAGAGCTGCTGTCAATAAAGTCATGATAGCGAACATGGTAGCCAACGTGACATCCAACGATCGATAACGGTCATGGAACTAGAAGGAGAAGATAGATCCTACAGAATCCGCGAATATTAAATAGATGCCTGTTTATAGACGAAGCCTATATTATTATTATATTTAAATCAAATGACACAATCGGAAAGAACAAACACACGACACGATAGAGAGACGACTACTAGAAACAACAGAGATGAAAATACTCCGACGAATATCAGGGAAAAGTCTGTTGGGTAGGGAGAAAAGAGAAAACATAAGAAGAGCATGCAATATAAAAGACATAAATGGATACGTAACAAAATAAAAACAGGAGTGGAATGAACACATCAGTAGAATGGCACAGGATAGAATAGTACGAATAGCACGAGATAAGTTACCAAATGAACGAAGTATTGGCAGACAAAGAAAAAGATGGTGCGACAATTTAAACAATTTACTAGGCTAAATATTGAAGAAGAAACAGTCTTTAAAGCCCACATACAAGAAGGAAGAAGAAGAAGACTTAATTTCCTGTATTTAGTTAATAGAATAAACTTAATTTACAATTAGAAAATACATATTTATTTTTTCCGAAAACTTGAGGAACGTGCGTATAAGAATCAGCTAATACGAAGACTTGCTGTTGCATGCCCCTCTTATGTCTATCTTCGACATGGGCAAGATCTATAGTGTATTTTTATGTATGAGAGAGTAATAAAACAATAAATTATGTATGCAAATCATTTAGAGAAGACATTTTCTAAGAACCATAAAGGAAATGAGAAACCAAAAAAGAAAAATATTTTATCTTGATGAAACATGGATCAACGAGGGTCATACACCAAATAAATTTTGGCAGGATGAAACTGTTACAAGTCATAGGCACGCTTTTGTAAATAACTTATCTACTGGTTTAAACCCACCATCAGGAAAGGTACGCAGGCTGATAATAGTACACATTGGCAGTTCAGACGGTTTTGTTGAAGGTGGTTTATTAACTTTTGAATCAACTCGTACCGGTGACTACCATGAAGACATGAACGCTGATGTCTTTCAAGAATGGTTCGAACAAATGATAGATCTTCTTCCTAAGAACTGTGTAATAGTAATGGATAATGCAAGTCATCACTCCAGACTTATAGAAGGACTGCCCACAACCAAGTGGTTAAAAAAAGACTTGCAGAATTGGCTGAGTTCAAAAAATATTACGTACCATCCCGGATCTATAAGAAAGGAACTTTATTCGTTGTGTGCCCTTCATAAAGAAAAATTAAAAAAATACGAAATTGATGAAATTGCCAAAAATCGTGGAATGACAGTACTTAGATCCCCACCATATCATTGTGAATTAAACCCGATTGAACTGGTATGGGCACAGATAAAGAGTGAAGTTTCAAGAAAAAATACCACTTTTAAAATTCATGATGTTAAACAGTTGTTTTTGGAGGCCGTAAATAATGTAAAACCTGAAAACTGGGAAAAGGCAGTAAATCACACTATTAAAGAAGAGGAAAAAATGTGGAAGCTGGACAATATTACAGATAAAATGATCGAGCCAATTATTATAAATCTTGGTTCTGAAAGTTCATCTTCTGAATCTGATTTGGATTTGTAACAAGTAGCTGTAAGTTTTATATTAATATTTTTATTCATCTATTTAACATACCTTAGACGGTTTTAAAAACTCTTTTTCTCTTTTGTAATTAAAAAAAAAATGTGAATTTTTTAAAACCCTTTTTAATGTAGGCCAGTCAGTTCTAATATAGTGTGTGATAAAAGAGGTCACTTTTGTTTACATACACATAACACTTTATAACACTGAAATAATTCATTTATTTTTTACAATAAGTCAAAGTAATTTTTCAATTAATCTTGAGCACGTCCATGGAGTGGTCGAAGGTACCAGTTAAAATTATGCTAATTACTCTCTCGTTCATAAAAATAAACTATAATACCACCAAAATAAGCATAAAGAAACAATATTAGATTAGGCTTAAAAAGAAATTTAAATAATAAAAAAATGCTGGAGAGAACTTCGAACAAACTAAGAAACTGATAAAATGCTCATTAAAAAAAGCAATATGTAGAATGAATTCCTATGCTTAAATTAGTGTTTAG